CGATCCCTGGGGTACACCACTGGTGACCGTGGTGTAGATATTATTCATTTAAAAAAGAACTCAGGCATTGAGAATGTGATAAACTAGTATGATATTTTGGCACATTTTCCTTTAATGCCAACATAGTGACAATACTGGTGAGGAGACCCGTGGAGAATTAGGGAGCCCAGTATATATATGGGTTCCACTCTGATCCTCGCCATGGTTTTTCTGAAGGTCTTCAGCTCGGTCTGTTCAGATGAGGTTTGATGATGGGAATTATGACAGAATAAAACAGGAAGGAAAAAGTAAAGGTAAACTTGCATAAAAAATTGTTTTTATTTGCTCAGATGGTTTGGGGCAGTAGAGGTGATTTTTAAGAATGCCCTTTATGAAGTTAAGATGTCTTATATCCTGCTGGGCACTGACTTTCCCTTGTTTTGCAGAGAGAGGCTGCAGACGTTGGCAAGATTTATAAGATTCGGATAGGCCATGATGGGACAGGCATTGGGGATGGCTGGTTCCTGGAGAGCATCACGCTGAAGCGCCTTGCCGCCAAGACGGAGTCTGATAAAAAGAAGAAAAAGAAAAAAAAGAAGTCTGATGAGGAGGAAGAAGAGGAGACCAAGGCTGAAGAAGGAATGGATGTCTATACATTTGTGGCACACCGCTGGTTGGCTAAAGATGAGGGAGATAAGGAGCTCGTGGTGGAGCTGGTGCCGGATGGAGAATCTTCCCTGGAGGGTAAATATTAGGGAGAATGTGATGTGTGTGTGTGTGTGTATACAGCAGTTGCATGAAGGATGATAACCACACTGTGATGCTTTACAGGACCATTTATGGCCCCCCAACCATCTCATTGCCCCAGATCTGCAGTGAAGGTTACACCGTGGTTTCATTGATGAGCTCTGGGAGGGAACAGAACTGGTTAAACTCAGGCAGAGGATGGAGGAGACAGCCTGAAATGAGAGTATCCTAAAGGACTGCTATAGGATTCTCCAAGGCTTGTCTGGGGAACTTGGATCACAAATTCCACAAGTTACCACTGTGGCTAGGAGTTTAGCAAGTTTTAGCTGTTTATTTGGTTAATGACAAGGGCTGGAGAAAGATGGAGCCCCTCATGTTTTAAGACACGTGTGGACATTTTTACAAACTCCAGACAAAACCTTTCTTAAAGCTAACTGTGTCAGCATTTTGGGGCTATGTGTTTTCAGGGTGAGCCACAGATCTGAAGAAATATGGCTATTTCTGGGCTCCTCCTGATCTTGCCTTTGTAATTTTCCTTGCAGAGAATACGTACGAAGTCCACGTTCTTACTGGGACTGTGTGGGGGGCTGGGACGGATGCTAATGTCTTCTTGAGCATCTACGGAGTAGAAAGAGGGGACACGGGTGAGCGCCAGCTGAAAAGGTCGAATAACCTCAACAAGTTTGAAAAGGGCCAGGTAATGCATGAACTCGACGCGCTCAAGCGAGCCGAAGGCTGGCAGAGCTCTCTGTTATCATGCTGGCCATTCGTTACCGTCTCTTCTCTGGAAGGCTTAGCTGCTTCTTTCAGTTTCACTCTGAGATGTGTTTTATTTTTTAAATTGATTATTTAAAGCAAAATGCCTCAAAACATTTTTCCAGGGGAAATTGATTTGAGTAAAAAAGCTGAACACCAACTCTACATCGGAGCCACCTCTTGCATCCGCTTCCTGTAAGCATTCTGGTAATAATATTTTCTGCCAGGAATACTTGAAAACCACAAACTTAATATTGGAGAGTATTTATGAGGCAGCTCAAATATGTCAGTATTTAGATTGCAAATATGATTCTAAATGTTCTACTCAACCAGTCAGGGAATAAAAGCAATATTGCACAATTTGCTACAATTACATTATAATCCAATACAATTAAAAAACGTCTCTTGTAGATTGAATATTTGCCTTAAAACTGTTTATGAACAATTAACAAACTAGTATTATAGCCAGGAATTGTTCAAGGAATAATTTTGAATAACAAAAAAATTATATTTGAATAAAAAACCATTTGAATTTAAAAAATTATGGAAACAATAAGCAACCGTGGAAAACTTACAATCAGAAAAAAAGAGCCTCAGGTTGTTAAATAAGCTGTTAGCTGTGATTTATGAGCTTGGCACAGGTGAAACTGCAACCTGCACATGGTTCTTCATTCAGTGGGAACAGCTCCAAGCTGCAAATGTAACTCTCTCTGCTCTTGGGAGTAGAAACCCAAAGTCTACCAACAAGTTAATCACGTTAAGATGTTTAAAGTATTATGATAACAAGGAACATCCTGTCCCACTAATACAGCTAATAAATGAATCTCTTGGTTGTAATAAATGACAAAAGGAAGAAAGCCTGTGGTTTGAAATAAAGCATATGGGGGTGCACAGGAGAGCTTCTGTGGAGTCAATACATTTGTATCCAGTTCCAGATACAGTCTGGAGGAAAATACTAAGCCTGAAAGGAATGAGATGTAGGAAAGATGAGTTAAACCTAGAGGAAGCTGAAATGGGGATGAGGTAAAGAAAGAAGTGAAGAGTTGTGCATCTCCATGGCTGTCACTGCTTTGTAGGAGCCAAGCACGAGTGTTAATGGGAGAGCTCACAGCTCTTGTAGTTACTTTAGCACATCCACCCAAAGAATACAAGGAGGACTTACAAACGGCTTTCTTTTTAATGGGAAAAAAAAATATTACCCTTGGCCATTTACTGCCTTTCTTTCCCCCTTTCTGGGAAACAGTCATTTGCCTCTTGCCTTGTGTGCAGGTGGATGTGTTCACCATCAAAGCCATTGACTTGGGCGAGCTGAAGAAGCTGCGGATCCGCCACGATAACTCTGGTGCTAGCCCAAGCTGGTTCCTGGAGAGGGTAGAGATTGTTGACCTCAAGGAGAGCACCACGTGAGCAGCCTGTCGCACCCTTTTGATACTGTCAGAAAAGGGGGCACGTTCTCAGGAGCCTGCAGAACCACAAGAAGGCAGAGGAGATGCAGAAGGGCATCATACTTACAGGGAGCAGGCAACTTTGGGAAGCCTTGTGATGGATGTGCTGTTATACTGAGTGTGGGGCCATTCTGGGGTACCTTTGTGGAGTTTTTTTATGTCCCAACATCTCTGCAGTCTGGGAACCAGTGGTGTTTGGAAGGAAACCTCTGCGTTTCTGTATTTCTCCTGGAAGGGACTCTCCTTCCTGAAGAAATCTGTTTGCAGAGCCTACACTCATGTTTCCTTTCAAGGCTACACTCTGGAAGTCCCTAGCCTCCCATTTTGTTTGTCTTTTGTACCTAATGCAAAGATCTGGGCCAAAACCAAACCCTGATCTAAGCAAACTCCCATGAACTCTAGTGGGAGGTGTCCCTGCCCATGGCAGGGGTGTTGGAACTCCGTGATCTTTAAGGTCCTTTCCAACCCAGACCATTCGACGATTCTACTATTTTTACAAACATCGGGGTGAGCAAAGCCCAACCTGTTAGAAACCTGACATCCAGACCTGCCTCTGAGCTGGGGCATGCTTGAAGCCACATCCTTAAAAGCTGCCCAGTGCTCTGGTGGGTGGGATTGCTCATAAGGACATCAAGATGGGTCCACTCTTCATAAACGTAAAACACCTGGGAGATCGGAGGTTGCTTCGAGTTATTTAAACTGGGGTTGAAAACTAACAGGAATCAATCATATGCTCGCTAGCCTGTTTATGGATTTAGTTCCCACAAAAATATACCAAAGCTCGAGAATGAAAACAGATGTATTTGTTAAGCTTTGAGTAATTTTGTTTTCTTTAAGTAGCCTCTGATCTCTGCTTATTTCTGTTATTAAAGCCTGTGAAGTCCTGTGTAAGCACTGGGTGCTGCTGTCATTCTTGTAGGTATTATTTCCCATGCCAGCGGTGGTTAGCAGTTGAAGAAGATGACGGTCAGATTGTCAGGGAGCTGGTCCCAGTGGATGAAGCATTTGTAAAGAAAGATTCGGAAAATGATGGCCAGTCTCTTGCAACGCTGGGCCTGGAACAGAAAGGTTTATGTTAGCCTTGTATTTCTTCCAGTTTGGGGTTGGAAAGGAACCAAGTTATTAGCTGTGCTGAGGGTATTAGCAGGGCTGTGAGTAATTCTGCCCTGACCACGAAGTTCTCAGGTGTGGATGAAGTGTGAAGTGCATGTCAGACAGCAAGGAGTAGACACTCCTCATGTTTAGGGATTTAATCATCTGGAAAGATTGGACCCAAAGTGAGAAAGCTAGGGAGACGGATAACATGTTCAGTCATCATCTCTCAACTGAAATGCACGTTTGATGCTAATATCTAAGGCATAAATCCCAGCCCTTTCCCATCATGGACTGGAATATTTAAATGTTTCAACATGAAACCAAAGAGATAAGATGACCAGAGAAAGGGAAGGGACATAAATTTATTTCGCTTTCCATCTTGCTGCTCGTGTTCGTTGTCCTCTGAAATAACTTGGTCTCTCTTGTTTGTAATTTTGCAAAGTAACCACAGAGCAATGACGTGCTCCTGGGTCTGATGCTGAAAGGTGCTGAGAACCCACCACTTCTGCTGCTGTTAAACTCCTTCCTAAGTCCCTCCTCAGATGCTTTTGTATACATTAATATTTTCCACAAATTGTATAGCCAACAAATTTCTGCAAATTGTTTATCCCTTTGGTTCAGGAGGACTTTCTGGCTGAGGAGCATTATGGAAACGTGTCTAACTATGGAAGAAAGGTGCTGGTTTGGAAATCTTGAGTAGGTTTTTGCAGCACAGTGAAGACTGTATTAGACTTTTCCACTATTTTTATGAGTCTACTGTGCTTGTTAGATGATGATGTGATAGAAACCTCCCTAATGATGCTATTGGGAAGGGTGTGTTCGTGAATAGGAACTGTATATGTCAAAGCGCACATACCTTCTGGTATGTGTTATATGCACATACATTATCTGGTGCTATTAGAATAAAGGGGTAGTGGAGATTTTAATGAAATAGTATAGGTAAAGGTAGCTTTGAGGAGCCCTAGAGGTTTCTAGGAAGCAAATGGGAAAGGTTGAGCACATTTCTTATCTGTAGATATGCTGACAATGTACAGAATGTCTGGAGTAGCAAAAGACCCTGCAACCAGACAGCCCAGCTCACCCCAGGAGCTGCTGCAGCATATGGCAGGAATTAGAGATTACAGCGCAGCTGCCATCGGTCAAAATAAAACACAAAGCAAAACACATGCATTGAAAAGTAGAGTGAATTCCTGCTCTGACTTCACACTCTTAAATTAAGATATTTTATCTGACAGCTAAATCAACAACATACACTGTGAAAGTGAAAACTGGGGACAAGAAGAATGCTGGGACGGATGCCAACGTCTTCATCACTCTCTATGGAAGTAAAGACGATACAGGTATGGCTTCATGTGAATGGAAAAGGATAGCACCTCACTGCTGGATACCTGAAAAGACAGGTCATGGTTTCCTTTTGTTTCCTCCATACCCGTTTCTTACCCCTTTTTAGAACAACTTTGTGTTCTCACTCTCTCTACATCGTGATAGCTGGGGGCACGCCACCAGCTGCTGTAAATCACTGTCAGACTGTGCGGTGCTGATTCACACCAGCTGCCGATCTAAGGGCCTTAATTTCAATTATAGAAACAGCGCAGTTGACTAGGACTTACATTACCGAGTGGTGAATGCGGTGAATTGCTTCCCTCAGCAGTGAATCAGCATGCTCCCGAAACACAGCTCTCCTCTGCCTCTTTGAGTGGCACAGAAGGATTTTAATCAGCTGATGAGCAAACCCTCTTGGAAAGAGCCGAGCTGTGTGTGCAGTGACTTGGATGCTTATGAGAGTGACAGGGAACTGATGGGTAGGACCCAATTCTTTAGCTGAGAACACGGCACAAGAGCATCCTCCCTGTGGCACTGCCAGGGGATCACTCAAGAAAGGAATTATGTACGTTTTGGGTGTTGATACAGATTTGGGTTCAGAGGGAGGGAGGAACAAAGCTCAAGATGAGATGAAAAGCCATTTTTTATGTTTTAGCCACTTCACCTGTTCCTCTGTTGACATGCCCAGAGGATTTGTTTCACATGCTGAACAATGTCCTTTTGCATCGCCACAACAGGGATAGTCAGCCTCAAGGCCTCCAAGACGAACAAGAACAAATTTGAGCGTGGGAAGGTAGATGAGTTCACAGTGGAGTCTGTGGACATTGGAGACCTGAAAAAAATCAAGATAGGCCATGACAACAAAGGTAAGACAATCTGCTGTGTAATGTAGTGTTTCTAGCGCCTTGGGCACGTTGCTGTATAAAATAACCTGCCTCCAAGACCCCAAATGTAATTTACCTTTTGGTGACAGATCCTTGCTGTCACTTTGGCTGTTGCTGCTCCTATCTTTACTGCTAAAACCATTCCCATGACTGTGGCAATATTGGCACAGTGGTGGCAACCTGCAGGTACCTCTCTCTCTGTAAGAGGCTCTTTAGTTTTGCAGCCTCATCTCTAGAGAGATTTCCCGTATATCACAAAACCTGGTAGTTTTTCTTGTTCCACATGGGATCTATAGACTTGTCTTGTTTCTTTTCTCAATATTTTTGTTGTTTTCATCATCAAGTGCTAACCTCTTAGACATAGATGTGTCTTTACTTAAAACCAGGGGAGCGGTGGGAAGACATATGGATTCCTTCCCTAAGGGGCACCCCAAAGGGACATGTTTGTTGATAACTCCTCTGTCTTACTATAAAGGCAAATTAATCCAAGTGATGGAGTAATTAGCACTTCCCCATGCACATCTTTAACCCAATGCATATAGAAATGTAAAGCACACTAGCGCAAACCTGGTCAATCACTTGCAATCACCTTTACGGTATCTATTCTATTTTTTCCATTGTCAAAAGAGAGGAAGATTTATTTCTCAGAGGTGTGGAATGCAATGATTCATTTGTTGTTGTCTATAAAGGCTTGAGGGTTTATTCACTGTTATCTCTCCAACCACAGGTAATTCAACTGGCTGGTTTCTGGAATGGGTGGAGATTGATGCCCCATCCCTGGGACAGTGCCTCAAGTTCCCTTGTGGCCGTTGGCTGGATAAATCAGAAGATGATGGAGCCATTGAGAGAATGATCTTCCCTGCAGAACTGCAGACAACAGAATATATCCCATGTGAGCTGCATGTCATTTCCCCAGGATAACACCCATCATTACAGAAGATAAAATCTCACTAGCTCATGCAGTTTTATAGGCTTGGCCTCTCCCTTGAATTGACTTTGAAAAATTTATAAATACAGCACATGCCAGCTATTCCAGTTACTACAAGAAGGTTCCTGTGGGTAGTCTAGCCTAACATTTCCTGTATTTCCCAAATCAGAGAGTCATTAGAAGCCATGTGGCTGTGTACAATAGAGTCTTTTTGCTCCCTCTGGCCCTTTCATCTCCAAGTCCTGAGCCCATTCCAAGATGTCTTCCTTGTCTCCAGTTTCCGTTTGTTCTTGTTCCATTCTAATATTGCTGTTTCTATTGTCAAAGCAAACACTTTGGTCTTGCTTCCAAGCCTTGATTATCCCAGCGCCTTTGGCATTGTACACCCCTCTCTTGCTGAAAGACCCTCTTCCAGAATTTCTTCAGCATGATGCTCTTCTGAAAGCATTGCAGCAGTCTGACTCTTTTAATGTTTTCCAATTTTTTCCTTACTCTTCACTTCACTCCCTTCTAAATTAACATTTGGGGTAAACCCAGTGTGTTTTGGGAGCTCCTTCTGAGTACTAAGCTAATAATTTTCAAGTCTGCTATGGCACCTCAAACTCTTCTCTTCAGGCAACTTCTTTTCCTGTCTCCAGAATGCTGAGAACCAGATAACATGGCTTTCTTGAAATAAATGACTGGAAACATTATTTTCCTTATTTTGTAGCCCTCTCTTTCCTTTTTCACATGTGTGTCCTTGACCGTGTGCAGGGGTCCCACAGCCCTGGGACCATGTTTGGTTTGCCCCTCCTTGATCTGCCTCATTTCAAGTTGTTGGCAAATGTTTCCTGGCCCACCTTCAGGGGACTATCAAAATTGCCTTTTCCCTTTGTTAGGTTGGATGTCACAATGATGAGGGACGAAGTCTGGAACCTAAGAGTTGATTTACACCCCATGCTCTGCTAGGTGCTTCCTAGGTCACTACGGAGCAATAATAAGTTATTCACATCAAAGCTGTCTCATGGCATCCCTCATTGTATGCATTGAAGGTATCAAAAGCCTTCCCTCCTGCAGTTCCTTATTTAGACATCAACAGCTGGAGCTGTCCAATCTCTCTTTTTCTGCCTCAGTTTCCTTCTTCATAAGTAGTTGTGAGAACAAGTACACAGAAGACTAGCAACTGCTTTGGCTCCTCTTTTTTACTGTCATTAAAGGTCTCTTTCACACTGGCTGATCTACCCTCCGATGTCCAGATCCTCACATTCTGCAGTCTATAAGCTAAAATAATCTTTATTCTCAGAGGACCTGCTAACGTCATCTCTTTGTGCCTCCCTCATGCATTGACCAAACTGTTTTTTATTTCTCATGTCTTGTTTTCTTTATCTAGACTGCCTGGAGCACAGGAATGCTTACTCATTGCTCTCTTCCTCACTTTTTTTCAGTCAACTGGAAGACATAACAGTCTTTATGTTTGAAAAAAAAAATTGATAGATAATGTGAAAAAAAAAAGATAGATATAGTTAATGTGTTCATAAGAGTGAATATAACCCAGAGACCTTGCATGTGCTTCTCATCAGGTTTTTCCATTTTATCCCAGTTGATATATATTTTGATGCAGATGTTGACTATGTAATTTATTAATATCCTAGTTTATGCCAAGGATTTAGGAGTTTCTAGCATTTGAGTGTAGATTTCATATAAACCTGAATTTTGTCAGCAGTCCACATTCAGCATTTGAAAATAGTTAAGCCTCTCTGGCAAAAAAATGTTGCACCAGACTCGGTCTCAGCTTAGGCTGTTTCGCCACTTAAGCCGTTTCCCACTGTGCTATTTACCGCATTCCGCTTTCCTAACTCTTAACCTGGGGGCTTCAGTCTGCCAGAAGTAACTAAAAAGGTTTGATTTGTCTTAGGACGACTCGTGCCAAAATCGTTCCGCGCAGAACAAGCGATGAAAACATGTCATCGGCAGCCCAATTAAAACCGTGCCTGTGGGGACACAACTTTGAAAGTGCCATGTGAATGAAATGGGAGCCTGACAGCTGAAAGTTGTGCTGCTAGCGACCTTGTTACGGTGCCGCTTTGCTGATTCAGTTCTAAGCTGCCGTTAATGTTCCAGCAATACAAGCAAGCGCTGTGGACTTCAGCAGAGATAATTTTTAATTCATAATGCGTAGCATGTGATTTTTGGTCTCCAGGATTATTTTTTTTCCCCTCCTACATATTGGAGAAACTATTCCAGATTACCTGCAGCACAGCAGAGCAGATTTCGTTGGGTTGGGCAGAAAGAATATTAAGTACCTCCAGGCTGACTTCTCTGTAGAGGAAAACTTCTTCATCCCTGTTCTCCCAAGAGCTGTATTTAGAGAGCCAGGGTTTTTAATGAATGATTAGTCCCCAATACGCATAATCAGAGTTATTCCAGCAGTAACAGACGTAGTGCCAGAAACCTTCTCTCTACCCTAGCTGAGATGCTGAAGCTGAAATATAACGCAAAGTGCTCTAATGGAAATAGCAAAGACACAGCGTAGGAGGATGCAGACGACAAGCAGCTGAGAAGGTTGTAGTGAGGGATGGAAATGGTGGAAGCTGGTGGTGGATGGGAGAGTCATGGCCAGGAGTAGATCCTGGTGACAGTGCTGGGTGGTGAAGGCTGTGCTTACCGATAGCGACATGCACTACAGGGATTGTGCCCCAGTCTTACCTGGCATTTTCCACCTCTAGATTTCAGAAAGGGTTTAAAAGAGATAGGGATGGGGTTCAAGTTGCCAAATGGCGCACCTGAATTAACATGTCCTCATGGCAGTGGAGTGTCTGAGTTCCCGTTACCATCCATAAGTGTTTGGTCATTCATAGATGGTGGATTTGGAGAATGATTCCTCTAACCCTGAGAAAGATCTCTGCATTTGCTTGCCTGACTCTTCAAACTGCGTTGACTTTAGTGGTTACATCTGGAGATGTGCACACCTATTTGATGTGCAGGCTTCTGAACATAGGTCCCTGTGAGCTAAACACCATCTCAACTTGGAAATCAAGGTGGGAAGTGACTTGACTAAGGACATTCAGGAGCCAGGAATGGAGCCCCAGTCTTATTCCTGGGTCAGTCTTATTCCTGAGGAACTCAGGACTGAGAAGCTGTGAAGGTAGAAAAGGACAAAAGGTGGCATCAGATTTTGGGGTCATGGAGCATTCTGGAGAAACCAAGGGAATAGAACAAGGAAGTATTTAGGGGCTTGATCCTTACTGCCCTGTGTTCGCCAGTGATCTGATAGTAATTTACACTGTTTGCCTTGGTGTTAGGGAGGAAGTGGTAGTAAGAGAAAACTAGATCAGAGTGGACATCAGAGGGTTTTGTTTATTTTCCTTACGATTGACTTTTGTCACTTGTTTAGTAAGGAAAGTCATAGCTTTTTTACCAACAAGGTTATCTTGAATATTTATATATGGCTTCCAGTTGGCTTAACTTCATCCATCTGCCTAGTTGCTCAAAAAATTAATGAATTAATGTTTTGCTTTAAGACTTGAGCTGTTGAAGTAAATCCTTTTTGCATAACTTTAGATGGCAGGTATAAATATACCAAGAGCTTTCTGATCATGTGATTAACCCTAAAATCTCAGTAAGTGAACATGCATCAAGGTCAATCTACCTTATAGGGTTAAAGGAAATTCTAATTAAAACGATAACTAAATGACCACAAGTGTGTGATTCCTACCCTCTCCTCTCTAACTGTTGAGTTTTCGAATCCAGATTTATTTTCATTAAAATGTTCTTAGGAGCGTTGGTATGCTGCTTACTAACTTTGTTTTAATTTTCTGCCATTTCCTAATTTAGTTGTTCCTTACGAGATCACGGTCTACACCAGTGATATCTTTGGAGCTGGCACGGATGCAGACGTCTTCATTGTTCTCTACGGAAGCGATGGGATCTGCACTCAGCAGAAGTCCCTGTGCCTCAACAAGAGAGAGCAAAGGATGTATTTCGAAAGGAACTCGGTGAATCAGTTCATTGTGGAGGTAAGATCAAAGATGCTCGCTGTCATCTTTGGTTGCCCTGAGGAGCCTAAGAAGAGAAGATGGAGTGAAGTGGGAATTTTTGTTCTTTCAGAGAAAGCTATTCCGTTCTTTTACTTGAGAAAGTGGGTTCAAATCTCCTTGCTGCAACAGACTTGCTGTGTCCTGGAGCAGATCTTTTTTCATTGACCTCCAGTTAGCAGCAACTCAAAGTTATAACATATAATAACATATCAGCAACTCAAAGTTATAATATATAATAACATATTCCATTATATTACTCATATTTTGTATAACATATACATATGAGTTTGTGAGAGGCAAAAATATAGGCAGCCCTACTCTGGCCTGTCCTTTTGGTACTGCTTCTCATCCTCACCTTCCCTCCCTGGATGCAGCCCCAACACTGACTTTGTAGAGGGCCTTACAACCTTCCCTGTGTTTTGAGTTTGTTTTTGTAAAATAATTGAAGGCAAATCTTAAACGAAGCTTTTTAACAAGTTAAAATGCTTGCATACATGTTACATGACATGAATTATAAAATGAACCCCCAGTGTGATTCCTTAAAAACAAAGACCAAGACTTATGTTGGTGGAGCTTCCAGACAGTTTTTCATAATAGAAGTTGCATTAATCCGTAGGTATAAATCTTAAACTGAGTGTTACTGTTATTTCTTTATTCCATAAGATTTATTTGAGGTTCGGCAGAATCTGAAGCATCAGTACTTTTCTTAGATGGAGTGAGTGAAAAGGCAGTTTGTTCTCCAGATTTATAACATCGTATTAAACTGTCCCCAAACTTCGTTCTCTCTTCATCAGTTCCTCTTGCTGCAGGAGATGGAGACGAAGCAAAACATATTTTTCTTTCACCTACTTGTGTAGAGCCACAATTTGGAGTTCAACAGACCTTAAAAACAATCTGAGTGTCTCAGGAAATACAAACTGAGATTCAGCCATTTGTTTTAGAGTTTTTAACTGTCCCTAACTTTTCTTAATTTGCAAAAGAGGCAAAAAAAATCAAAGACTGGTCTCAACTGTGAGCCCAAGTGATGTTTTCCTGGAGATGCATTCGGCAGAATGGAGACCCCTTCTTTAACATGAATCTTTACTAGTCAAGGCTCACTTCAGTGTTATGTATCGATTAAAAGCCTCCTTGAAAGATGAGTAATTTGGACAGGACAAAGGAGGAAGAAAATAATTTTCCTCTAGTGTATAGTTGCGTGCATGCATGAGTTTGGATCATTTAATTATTTTGCAACTGATGCTTCTGCTGCCTAAAGCCAGGGCAGGGCTGGTGAGGTCAAACCCGATTTCTATGGAGTGGGAACTCCTTGAGTAGGGCAGTCAGTCTTATTGAGTCCTGATGTCTTTGCTTCAGTATGGAGCAATTCTGTTTGTTGGAAAAGAAGGGAGTAGTCTCCAGTGGTGCAAATTGAGATGTTCTGTTTTCTCATGTTTCCAAGAAAAAAAAGACTCCAAGTCCCTATGGACAGAAGGACAGCTCAGTGGGCTTCTCTTATGTGCAAAGGAGGTTTGCAGCCAGCCTTGTGTTTCTTTTAAAGGACAATTATACAAAGGCTTGCACTAAAATAACCAAAAGCTATTGCTTAGGAGCAAATACCATTTTTCCTGTTCAAGCCTTTGGAAAGGAGGTGGCTTAAAAGTGATGAACTTGTGACAAATTATTCAAGTAGTGATAAAAAACCAGCAGCCACTTCACAAGATAGTGATCCTGTTGATTTGCTCAGAATGACGTTGGGATTCTGTGGCAGAACAGGAGAGAGATAATATAAAATGCCAGGCTGTTAATGTTTGACCTCAAAGCTATTCTTCCAGTGTTATGAGTGCAAATAAGTGTTTAAAAGGGAAAGATGTCTAAAAAGAACAATTTAACATGCAGTCATATTGCAGTTTCTAAAAAATTCTCTTAATTCCCACTCACACAGAGAAGCCTGGGATGCAGGATCTCATACAGTGGGTAGTTGTATAGAGCAAGATTCCAGTTTTGGAAGACAAGTTCAGGGAAACTCTTTAGCTAAAATGCAAGTTAGCGAATAATTGGCATCAAAGTTAATATTTGCTCCCTTGAGACTTCATACAGACTGGAAAAAATAGGATACAAGCTAAAGAAGTGCCTCAAAAGTCACCTGTTGTCCATGCCACAATATTTCTTTTTCTTTTTTTTTTTTTTTTTTTTTCTTCTTTCTGTAGCTGGAGGATGTTGGTGACATTATCGAAAAGATTCGCATAGGACACAAGGGTGGAGGACTGAACTCTGGGTGGCATTTGGACCGTGTAGCGATTCGGAGGCTGTTGCCAAATGGAAAGGTAGGCTGCGAATCCCAGCGCTCTGGAATATGTTTCCGTTAGCAGCCGCTTCCATTTCCCAAAGCGCATCTTCTGTGTATGAAGCGTGATTAGCAGTGAAAAATGGCTCCCTAAAGAGCAATGCACACTAATGAACTTGCTAGAGCTTGGGGATCTGGGGACAACAAACATGTATTGCCATGTTTTATTCTTCAAATGTTGATTATAAATCTCTGCAATCATTGCTTTTTAAAAAATGCAGGTTTTATTATTCTTATTTTGACCAGAATGGAGCTATTTCCTCCTGGCAGTGAACGTGATGTTCTTTCTCAACAGTTTGGAGGCCTTCACTAATCTTTATCTTTTGTGTGAAGGGGCAATCTGCCTGCTGGGTTTGGAGGCAACGTTATCATGGTTTGCCTGCTAGACTGAGAGGGGAAATTCCTGACTTTGTACCCATGGCTGTGCAAATACAGCTAAAGAATTACAGGGTTGAGAAGATGCTCCTCTGCTGCTCTGTACCACTGTTGCGCGACACCCTGGAGTGCCCAGGGCACAACAGTAGGTTTAAATGAGATATTAGTAAGAAATATTTTCCTGTGCAGGGGGTGAGGCAGTGACCCAGGTTGCCCAGAGAAGCTGTGGATGCCCCATCCCTGGAGGGGTTCAAGGCCAGGCTGGATGAGGCTTTGAGCAACCTGGGCTGGTGGGAGCTGTCCCTTTCAACCCAAACCATCCTGTGATTCTACGGTTAAGGCAGTGCAGCCAGACTGGTCATCTTGATCTCATCCACAAAAGAAACTGTTCCTCGGCCCTGCTTTCAGATGCTGGCTGTAGGAACAGGAATGAGTCTGGCTGCAAGTAAGTTCTGAAGAAAACTGCCTCTTCAGGACCAGTTCAGAATTGGAGCAGTAGCTGTGTTTGGGAACAGCTGGTCTCTCTCACTCTGTCTTGTCCTTTCTACGCTTGTTCTGAAGGGATGTCACCTTTCATCTCCACTTCAATGCTCCAGTCTGACCTCTTCTGAAGAGACTTCTATCAGGGATTGTTGTAAGCATGGCTTGGTCAGTCATGGTGAAACTTCTTATCTTGCTTCCTCCTTCAAAATTCCCAAGGTGTGTTTTATTCTCTCTGCCTCATGATCAACACAAAGGTCTGCCTTGAACCTTCCTCGTCATGCTCAAGCCTTTCGTAGAATCACAGAATGGTTTGGGTTGGAAGTGACCTTAAAGATCATCGAGTTCCAACCCCCTGCCATGGGCAGGGACACCTCCCACTAGCCCAGCTTGCTCAAAGCCTCAATTTTCTACACCTACAGTTGACTGAGCACTTTGGGAAGGTCCTAGGAGCTCCATGTCAGGTGGTCTTCCGTTAGCCCAATAAGGGGCTCGGGGCTGTGTGGCTCTGCAGTCATCACAGCAGCCTCAAAGGACAGCTGGTGAGAAACCTGGGAAGGTGGAGGAAGTGAGGAAAGCCATGAACGTCTTAAAAACGGAGAGATTTACAATTCTGCTGATCTTTTGATTATGGCATTGGAAAAAAAAAAAGAAGAAAGCATAGCACTGCATGATGCCGCTGATCAGCCGCAGGATATTATGACCTGCCACAGGATAGCAATATGCTGCCAAGGCTTCTAAAAGCTGTGCTACCTGATTAGACTGCTAAGAGGTGCCTACATGTATCTGTAATGCTGCAAAAGAAAAATTAGGTCAGTAACTTTTCAGATTAAATTGAAAGCACTTGGGTAGGAAACTAGGATTGTTGCATGCCAATAAAGCTCTGTCTTAGCATGTCAGTTATATCTGATAATTATATTTCATGTGCTACAACGTGGAGAAGGATGAAGCGCTGACTTCCAACACACTCTCAGACTCTGCCACTAGCTTAGGGCCAGGCTCAGACTCTAGTGAAAGCAATTCTGATCGGAGCAGCAAGAGGATTTTACTGTGGGTAACACAAACCGGCGCACTTTGCGTCACTTAAATATTAATGCAATCACTAACAAGGAAACTCCAATAAAAACGGTGGCAATGACATGGTGATTAACAGTAATGATACAATTAACTCTTGCAGTAACTGCACATTATGCCCCACTGTGTAGGCACTCGAGTCCCTCGATACCCCATTACTGAATAAACAGTGTTCATATCAATGACACGTACAGACAACATTATCAACGTTTAGGAGCAGTTAAAAGCTTCAGTGAGAGACGTAACTGAAGTGGGATCTCTACTGCGAGGAGAGAGTTCCAGCACAGAAGCATCCTTCTGGAAAGCCCTCTCTTCCCAGACTGTAGGTACTGTAGACACTCCATCACACAAACCCCTTGGAGGGGTTCAGCTCCTGCACATCAACTTGTCTGGGATGTGTGCATGGTGGTATGATGACCTGTTCATACCAGGTTAGCAGGTGAACCTTTGATCTTAGGTGGGCAACCTTTTCCTCCCCAGTGACGCTGTCAGGGAAGACAGGATCCAGCAGCTAAAGGCAGCCATACACAGCGATAACTATATTTAATATTGCTACAGCGAGAGCTAGTCCCTTCTTTAACTATTTATTGATACTTTTGTATTTAAGTAGTAAAAATAGTGAATAAAGGACCCTATATTTTTTTGGTAAATAATTAAATGTGAGTAATTAAAGTATTCATAGGCTTTAAGCTGAAAGAGGGTAGATTTAGATTGGATATTAGAAGTTTTTTTCTGTACAGGGGGTGAGGCAGTGGCCCAGGTTGCCCAGAGAAGCTGTGGATGCCCCATCCCTGGAGGGGTTCAAGGCCAGGCTGGATGAGGCTTTGAGCAATCTGGGCTAGTGGGAGGGGTCCCTGCTCACGGCAGGGGCGTTGGAACTGGATGATCTTTGATGTCCCTTCCAACCCAAACCATTCTGTGATTCCGTGATTCCACATTATATGTGAAAGTGGTGGCACACAGAGTACTGGAAACAGCAGAAAGCTCCTGTGCTACTTAGGAGAGAAATGCTGAAGTTGCCAGTATGGAAAGGGCCATTTTTTCTTCCTTTAATGTGAGATTAAAACTAATTTTTTTTCTTTTTCTGTTCAGACTTGTGGGCTCTGCAAGTTGCATGACGGCTCACGGCCCTTTCTTATGGAGATATAGCCTGGGGTGCCCAGCACACAGAAACCTCCTGCCTCTTACCATCTTGGAGGCTTTACAGGAGTCTCTTCGTAATGAGTAGTCTGGGGTTGATTTTTGTTTACCAACTGGAAAACACATGTTCTATTGTTTTTGTTTGTTTGATGATAGAAATCATACTTGTTTCCACCAAAGTGAAGTCAAAACAAAAGATCAAAAAATTAAATCGCTATTTTTCTCCTCTTAATGCACATATGGGAATTGTCTGGAAACCAACTAGAGTCACAGAATTATGGGCAAACTCTTGAAGTATTGACTCAGAAAAAAAAACCTTACTGACTTGTCTTTTCCAACCTTAATGATTCTATGATTCTATGACTTCAAAGAGAATACTGCCTGAATAAGGATTGAAGAGGGATTGCAGGGTCTCAGTAAAACACAACTTCAGCTGGAATGGCGTAGTCCTGATTAGGAATTTGCAAAGTTGAAAACCGGGAACAGTAGAGATCTACTGAACCATACAGCCCATCTCACTCAACCATTGGGAATACTGTTCTCTGCTACACGCTCAGTGCTTCTTCTGAGTCCTCAGATGTCCTCTTTCTGGAGGGTATATATTTCTATAGACCATTTCAGCTCTGTATTTACATACATATGCATACATACATGAGCTGAAAAACCTTGCCTACATGCCAGAGAAAAGCTAACATGTTCACTTTTTTTAGAAGTGATTACCTCTGTCATGTTTTCTTCAGGGCTCAGAAACTGTCACCTTTCCATGTGAAAGATGGCTTGCAAAATCTGAAGACGACGGTGAGATTATCAGGGAACTGGTGCCGTCTGATATTTTCACTGAAAAACTCATGAAGGATGGGACACTCAAGCAGATAGAGGAAGAAGTTGAAGACCCGTTAGAAGGTAATGTAATCCTAGGCGTAAGTAGGAACCTGTTCATCTGATTTTTTTGAACAAAACATTTGGATGTGTGGTTCAGGCAAATGCAACGCTGGTATGACTGTTCACATTTCCTTCCCTTCCTGTTCTCTGGCCTCTCTTATACCTGAAGAGCAAACTGAATTCAGCTGCCATCTTCATTCTTGGTTCTTGCGTCTGGCAACAAGATGATTCAACAGAGAAAATCATTCCTCTCCCTGTTTCTTTTCCCTCAGTGTCTGATTTGCATTTGTGGTACACCATCGTCAGGGTGGGATTTGTACGGGTTGTGTTTTCCATCACCAAGGGAAGAGGTGCCTTGCTGTAAGGAAGCCTAGAGACTTTGCACTGTGCCCTTAGAAGGGAGAAGTGTGCTCTTTCCTCCTGTTAGGAGGTAAATTACATGTTACATGGTAGCTCATGGGAGAATTTTTTTTCCGCATAGAGGCAAAGACAGTTTTAATATCAATTAGTAAGCAACATGACTGCTAGATGCCTGCATGACATTTTCTTTAACTTACTAACTTCTGTTTCTTTACCTTGCGTTAGTTACTGTGTGCTAACTAACCTCGGTGACTCATTTTTTTCCTTCTAAAGGCAAAGTCTTAAAACAAGTTTTACAATCTGTGGAATAGGATTTTTGGATAACGGAAGATTTCTTTTGGCTGGGAGCTAAGGCTAGGTTTGTGAACTTTTGCTTTAGATATCAAATATCTGGGACGGGAATTATATCTTCTGCATCTCTATGAGTCGTTGTACACCTTGGGCATTGACACAGTGTAAATGATACCAATGGAAAACCAGCATGTGGTATTCTGAGGATCATCTTTTGTACAGTAGACAATATTTCAGTCCTGAATGTCTCTAGAACTGGCAAGAAAAAACTAAAGAGGGATGAATTGACTAATTAGAGTATATACATTTCTTCCTTCATTACTAATGTCGCAGTTGTACCTCAAATATGAAGCTGTGACTCTCTAGGACAGAATATGAAGAGGCAAAACAGAAAACCTGTCATTGCACCTAGCCTGATGGATGGTCGTGATCCATTTCTTAGTGAAATCAATGACAATCTTTCATGGACCATAAAGCAGAATAGACCCTGTTTTATTGGGAAAGCTAAGCACAGAAGAAAAAGGCAATATAGGTATTGTCTTTGATGCTGTTCATGTACAAAGAAGAATACTGACTCAGACTTTGTGCCTCTTCCTCATTTGCATTGCCCTGAGATTTGCAAGGAGGCATTCTCCAGGGCTCGTATGCCACCAGGGTAATCAGAAGCTTGTACAGTTCTTAATTGTTTTCCTGGAGAGGATGTTTTTGGTAAATGTTTGTTTTCCCTGTGTAATTGGGGAAAAAAAAAAAGGTAGCAAAATAAAAATAGGAGTATTTAACAGGTTTAGTAAAGCGCATTACTAAAGATTTGATGAGGTTTTATTGGATCATTATTGAACAAGCTAAAGAGAAAAAGGGTATTTAAACAGTACAGCTCCAACACTTCCTTAATTAAATACTCTCTCAGCAAAAGGACTCAGAAACCTGTTCTCCTTCTGTTTGGGGAATTTATAGAGATACATGCCATTAACTCTGGAAGTAATTGCACATCTGAATCCCTGGATTTTGTTTATGGAAGATGGAGTATTAAGAATTCACAACACTGAATCACTTCTCAGCTGTAGGTCCCTTGAGCCTCAGTATTGAAAAGGTGCAGAGCCTCCCTCACCTCTATCAACTTCTCATCCTGTAATAAGCACAATGTTTCTTTGCATTTTTATGTGATCAAAGCAAAACACACAGGCATTGATTAGATGGAGAAAAGGAAAGTCAGCAGATTTCACCCCAGTGATTCCCCAACCTTCCGATCATTACCAGAAGCAGGGAAGGATAAAGCATACGGTATTTTAAACTGAGTGATGAGCAGAAAGTTTTGGGACCATTTTCTTAGGTAAATTCGGTGTCTAAGACAGACCTTGGTAATTCACCTGGCCAGAAATCACGTCTCCGTTTCTTTCTGCAGTTCACACGTACAAGATTAGCGTGTTCACTGGAGATATCTATGGTGCCGGCACAGATGCTAATGTTTTCCTAAACATCTACGGAGATCTGGGGGACACGGGAGAGAGAAAACTCAGCAAATCTGAAACGAATTTCAACAAGTTTGAAAGAGGACAGGTACAAAGGCAATGGGTTAATAACTCTATCCATTTCACAGTCTTTGACCAAACAAGTCCATGACTGTCTTTCTAGGATGAGTTTTCCTATGAGGGATGAATTGATTGGTTCCATTTATGATGTTCATTGCCTCTTAAAATGCTTGGTATGGATTGTCAGCTGGGTGTTATGACTGGCAGGTGCTACAGTGAATGGGTCGATGTTTCTGTGAATTTACTGATAGACAAATTATGAGCTTGGTCCCTATGAACTGGCTTGAATTGTTATCTCAGATTTGAGAGCACACAACACCTGAGGTCTCTCACTCCCATAGCCTCTGTGCAATTGGTTTGCCCGTACGTAGTGTATATTGTAATTCAACAAATAAATCGATGGGACCTAAACTGTCTCTGTGTTTGACAAAATAACTCCAAAAGTGGTGCAATGTGGTCAGTCCATGAGTTACATTCACAGCCTCGTACGGAGATACTCAGTTATAATGATGGCAAAGATCTGTATTGTCTTTACAAATCTAACTGGATTAGAAAGTCTTACATAGACTTAAAAATCAGATGTAAAATTCCAGGAATGCAACATATAAAAGTGACATTTTCTGCAGCTCCCCTCCCAGCAGAAGCAGGCTTCGAAACACTTCCCCACAGAACAGCTTTAGTGCACAGCTATGCCTCTAAAGGTTACTGCAAGGCTTTTAATCAAACACCGTCATGTGAGACGAAATTTAAACACATATTGTGTGCTCTGTAGCCTCTGTTTGCTTTTGTTCAGTAGACGATCTGTTGAGAGCTCGTTAACACAAGCAACCGCTATTGAACACCCTTGCAGGAGGATACGTTTACCCTACAGGCTGTGGACCTTGGCATTTTGTACAAGATCAAAATTCGTCATGACAATAGCATGTTCAGTCCTGACTGGTTCCTGGAAAAAGTAGAGATCCTCGATGAAACCACAGAGGAATCATTCATTTTCTTATGTGAACGCTGGCTCTCTAAAAAGAAAGAGGACAAAAAGATAGAGCGTACGCTCTACGAACAGGTACGGTTACGGCTCAAAGCTGGGATCAATGCTAGTATAAATATAAAATGATTGACTATCTGGTTAAAGCCCAAGACAGATCTTTAGGCATTTATGCTTTTTGACTTGTCCAGAATGAATTTGTGATTTTCAGACAAGTGCTGAAAGCTTGGCCACTCTCAGCCCAATATCACTAGCTCTGTAATTCGCAATTTCAACAAAAAAAATTGAGTCTAAGTGAAACTCTTCAGCTGAGAGTCAAAGTATCTTGCTGGTGCACAGTAGAGAATATTTCCCTGCTGCTCTCCTTGCTGTGACAATAAAGTAGATTAGTTATGAGTCCCAAATACTGGGTCCTTTGACTTCATCCTCTCTGGACTGGATGGGTTTATCTTTTCAGCTCTTTCTTCCACCAATGACAAACATTAAAAATCTGGTTTCTTTGCTACTGCTCAAAGCACTGAATGTTTTTTTTAGTGAAATGCCCTTTTTACTTGCACGTTCTCTGTTGCTTTATCAGGCTAATATAGCTAATTGGAATTTGAGGTACATGCACTAATTAAAATTAGCAAACAAGATTAATAGACCTCTCTTGCTTCTATACAGTGAAGGCATAATAAAGGAGCTGATTATAAGTTCATTGTATTTAAGGAGTCTACTTTGCAAAATACAGGGACAATTTAATTGACAGTTACCATGAAAATTATCATCCATGGAATGGGGACAGACTCAACCTGAATATAATAGAATGGATGGAAGAAGAGTTGCGCCATGGATGAGTATTGCCATAGGCCCCTTCATAAAATCGCAGCAGACAATGCTATGAATTCTTGTGGTCACACTTAACCTGCTATTCGTATTAATTCATAATGAGGAAAAGCTAATCACTTTTTAAATTACATGACTGTGTGGTAAGAGCCACACATTTATTGGACAATGACACTGAACACATCTGCAGTAACTCTTCAAATACAATAGATGTTTTGTATCATTCAGCTTTGCAGTTCTTCCCCTCTTACGCTCTTTGACCTGGACCAGGCAAATTAGTCTGACACCTAGCATGTGCCCTGATAATCAAATCTGGTACCATTCCATCCATCTGAATTTTCTACACACAGGTAGCAGAGAGAAGTCACAACACACCATTAAAGTCTGTTAAGTCCATTACGTTTTATTTTATAATATCACACATGCAAAAGTGGCTTGTCAAGGTTACCAACAAAGTGAATGAACGACCTGTAGTAAATTACAAGTCACATTTATTTGAGCTACACTGAGCAAAAAGCTGCCTGGGGAATGACAGGGATTTTTTCTCATGTTGTTCTTGGAGGCACAAGGGAACAGCCGACAGCACTTGAGCACTCAACCTCATTACCCTCTCGTATATGTTTTCCAACTAGAGCTATGATGGTGAGCGAAACAGCCTGGATGGTTCATCTCTCAGCCTGTCGAGCCAGGATAGCAATGCAAACCCGGATGAGAAGAAAAAATCCATCTTGGTCAAGGCGGCAGAAGAAGGATCACGTGAGTGAGCACTGTGTTTGATGGCATACATGTATGCTTTCTTGGTTTTTGGTCTGGAGAGGTTGCGTTCATCCTGGTTGAAGAGCAAGGAGAGGCAGAACAGCAAATAGCTTCTCTTCAACCTTGTGCTGTGACTGCTTTGGGAAAGTCTGGATCAGTGCTTGTACTTCTGTGTTTGGTGCTTTTCTTATAGCTCTCCTACCCTCACAGTGGAATAGTGGTTGTAGCTTATCAGAATTAACTTCTCCATTGCCAGCAGATGTAAGTTCTCCAAACAGTATGGCGCTTTGGACAGTGTGACAATGTTGTTAGGTAGGTGGTTATTCAAGGGTATGCTGTTTTCTGTCCCAGTGAGGTAGAAGGCACAGGGTACGTCTATGGGCAACTACAATCCCAAATCATGTCCATTAGATGCTAAAAGTTGGACGAGTCCACTCACACCGCCAAATATGGAAAAGGGGCTAATCAACAACACCCATAGGGCCTCTTCAGAGAGAAACCCACCACTGTGAGACTATCCTCTGAACAGCAGGGTCTGAGAGAGTTAAGGGAATAATTTATGCAAGTTTTGTGTCATTTGATCTGAAGTGTCTTTCAAAGGATCCCAAAGCTCTTTGTAGTGAGAGGGACAGTAGACAAGTCCCAAGACATGTTGTCACCAAAAGAACCTCCCTTGGACTATCAGAGGCTCTTTTCTGCATGATTCCTTAAAGTAGCTCTTTTTACTGATATCAGCTTTTTTTTTCCTCCTGTATCTCTTTGACCTACTCAAGATGATGTTTCGTGTAGTATATTAGATCTGAATTATCAAAAGCAGCTTTGAGTTTCTTAAGATGTTATTTGCCACATTTAAGCCATCTTCCCTTTTCATGATCAGGCTAGCAGTGCCTCATCACCAGGGATGTTCGTTTAATATGAATTTAAATGTGATTTATTTTAGAACCCTTCAGGTTTTCTTCCTTACAACAAGTAGCTGCATCACAGCAGTTTTTGGGTTGGGAGGGGAGTGGGATACGGGGAGTTGAGCAAGAATGCAGATAAGGCTGTTTGCTCTCAGGAAACAAGCTTCGACTGGGAGTCGAAGTTTGTTCTTTTCTAGAAGGTGGATTCTTTCATAATTGGGCAGAGGAGGAGGGTCTGAAAATGCTCTTGCTAAAGGCAAGAGGTCCATGAACTCTGGACTGAGGTTCCTGCTCAAACAGTCGATGGCTCTAGTGTAGTTTCATCTTTAGGCTCTGGTTCCTGAAACAAAGTAAAGCTGAATATAAAAGAAAAAAAAATCTGTCTCTGGGTTGCAAGTTATAAAAAGTGAAATATAGTGGACTGTGCAAAGGCCGGTTTTCGCTCAAGGACGTTAGTCTCGCTTGGCTGCCTCCGATACGAATCACCTCCGTGTTCCAGGACATTGACTTATCGTCTAAAGTGCACCTACAGTTTGTTGTCATCCTGTATCAGATGTTTAAGCTTTACATTAAGATTTTAGATGCATGGTTCAGATACTGTGCTGTAACAAGTAACTGGGCAGCTGCTGAGTCACAGTTACTGTCCATATGTGACCTCTTAGCCCACAGCAAGTGCAAAATAATTAAACTTATCTTAAATGTCCATGGTAAGCCAAGTGCATAATGATGTAATTTGGCTTAGGAGTTTAAGATAGCCTTCACTGACGTGCTCCAAGGGAACTCACTCAAATGGTTCCTGTAGCTCAGATGATGTCCAGCATCTTGTTGTGATGTGATACCCGAGTTGAATGTCTCAAGCCTTTAAATTGTGAAGCAGACATAAAGCTGCACATTGCTTAACCTGGTCTGCAACCCATGTGTCTCAGCACAACCCTTCTTTTGTAGCCCCGTACTGTGCTCAAAAGAAAAATGAGAGATTCCCATGTTCCTTCTGATATTACTCCTGCGGTGAGACAATGGATAACATCTGCTGTGCTGGCATTCCATGGAGTTTCACAAATAATGGGTAAAACATCGGCATCTCCCATGAGAACCCATGTCCAGCTGAGCTGGGATAACTCCCGTCATCCCCATTGTACCAGTGTGGTCTTTCTTCTCTGAGTCCTGGAGCTCATCATCACCACTATCTCTGTTGCAGTGACATGGCATCATTAAGGAAACTGCATCTTGAAGGAATGTCAGATAAGATGGACCATGTGAGCCAGACAGCCACCTCCTGAGCCTGATAAAAATCCAGCTGTTAATTAGTTGAGTGGGGGAGGTAGTGTTGGGAGTTGCCTCAGAAAGCGATGGAGAGTTTGAGCAGCACACTTCTGAGTCTCCCGTGTTCAAGATGGTGAATAGATCTGAGGGCCAGGAGGTGATGTGAGGATGGAACTCAGAGAAAAGTCCTCTTGACTAGGAACCTGCTTGGCTCCATACTGGAAGGCAGTGCTGGAGATGGTGTGGTCTACAATCTTAATGAAACCCAACCCCCGGTGAGGGGGACACGTGCCCTCAAACAGCCTGAACTCTGCACAGAGACTCAAGGAAACAGAGGGCAAAGGTCTGGAGGACCTGTGGTGTCCTGCTGTGGCTGCATAACTTGGGTTTTACATTCTCTCGTGTTCGAAGAAGTAGAACTATGGAGTCCCAGAGAAAGAGGGAGACAACGGAGAGGGGAGATAAACAAATTAAGGATGACTTTCCTAGTTTTTTAGAGGAAAGAACAGAAAAAAAAAATGTTTCCTGCTGTCTGGTAGCAAGCCATTCTATCTCTCTGTATCCATTATTTAAAGTGGGAAAGGATAACAATTTCTCATGAGTCTCATTTTTTATATGGATACTTCAAGCACTTTTGCTTGAGGATGCGACATCAGCTGGAAGTGCTGGTAGTTCTGTGAACTTAGTCTGCCACAAGAGAACAGGGTGAAAACTGTATAAAAGAGAATTTTGTCCCTATTCGAAATATACTTCATTTAAAAGAGGAGTCTGGAGCTGTTCTAAACATGACCCCTTGACATATTCTTATAAAATCTGCCTTGCCTACAGCTAAACCGCTTCTCCTGCTAATAACAGTGGCTCCAATGGTTATTTTGTGAAGAATGCATTGCATGTCATTATGCTGATGTGCACACTGAAATGTAAATGATACCATAGAGGGGACAATAAGTCTTGCCTGATCATCAGTTCACTTCATGTGAGTACACAAAATCCTCAAAGTGGGGTTGAATGAATCTCTTTGGGTTCTGCTCTTTCCGGAGACAAGAACAAATTTGGTCAGCATGAATTAATGCCTTCCCTCATATTGCAAACATATTCTGAGCTTGATATGAGTTTCTAGCACAACACCCACCCAAAAATGTTGATAGTCATCATGAAGTAAAATTAGATGTCAATCCTGGATGATTTGAAAGCCAACCAATTTTTTTGTCAAGGTTTATAAACTTTTCATTTTTTTTTTTTTAATCAAAAAAGCCATGATGAAGTCAGGCTGAGTTTGGATTCTGTGACAAAGCAAGTTTCAGTGCTCTGAGTCTTGTCAGAACATTTTGAACAGCCCTGCACAAATGTTCCGAGAAATCAAACATGTATTCAGCGTCTAATCCTGCACCACCCGCTTGGCTTACCCAAATGAGCTTCTGGAAAGCACTTGAAAAGCAGTCTGGCACTTCCACACTTTTAACAGCCTTACTGAAATTTCTGAAAACCGCAGAAAAACCTGCTAAGTCCCAAGGTTTTTCTCCTAATCAGTGTTATTATGCAACATACAAAATTATTGAGTGATCTATCCATAGTTTGCCCGGATTTGCAAGGGGATGCTGAAGCCCTGAATTGCCCCATAGGTTGCAGCAATCCACAAAGTAGAACATTTGCAGCTGGAACATTCAATCAGTGATGGCTTACCTTGGAGTCAGCCTAGACTTATTTGCCTTTATTGAACGGTGAGGGTCAGATCTCTTCGGTCCAACAGCCTGTTTCAGATTTCGGTGTTCAGTCTAATCTTCAGGAAGGTGTCTTGGTGTAAATAAGGATTCGATCCCTTTGCTGTTCTGTCATCTAGTAGGGAGAGATCTTGACTGTGTTATACTGATGGGATGAGTCCCTGGTTTTCTGAAGTCTCATATAATCGTGTATGTGTGTGGGTTTTCTGATGACTGATCCTCTGTTTGCTGCAGTGATCCCGTACCACATCACCCTCACAACAGGCACCGAATTCGACTCCAGCACTGACAGCCGCGTGTACATCATCATCATGGGTCCTCAGAAAGTGCAGACGGAACGACTGTGGCTGGATCTCCCGGAAGGAAAAGACGAGTTTGCAGATGGTTCCGTAGAGAAATTCTCCGTTTGGGGCCAAGATGTTGGAGAGATCAAAAAAGTGGAGGTACTTTGTCAATGCAGCATGAGTACTGGAAGGATATGAAATACACAGCCAAAGAAAGCACACATTCCAGTTATTCTTATCAGTGAAAGAAAGGCACTTGGGTCTAAAAAAACATAAATGGGCATGTGCTAATGAGATTTCACATGTGTCCAAACTTGAAAATAAATACATTTTACATCTCACAAAACCGAGATCCTTGGGAGGCAGAAGATAATTTTAAATTATAAGGAAACTGTAACATGTCCCAGTTTTGTCCCATTTCTGGCACTTTTTTTCTTAGTCAAGCCCTGTCATTGATGGATGCAGTGAAGGTTCCCAGGTTTTTGCAGTGCTTCCATTTGAGTTTCATAAATTGTGCCTGCAGTGAGAAACACATCTAGTATAATTTTCTAGCTAAATATGAAAATTGTTTTCACAACTTGGAGGACCCAGGCTTAGAGAAGAAAATTAATCATCATCCGTAAGTGACGTGCACAAACAGATTTCAGTACAGGGGCCATTTTTTCCGCTATGGCTCAGGGAGACAGAATTTGCATAGACATTCCATCACTGAGCTTAGACGTCCCATGAATCTTCCAGCTTCCAGTCTCCATACTAGGTTTGAGTTTATTATCAAGCCATTTTCTTAATGCACTCCAAGTGCCTGGTTATTGTGGGTATTAGTGGCACTTTCTATCTAGCCCATCTCTAGGTCAAACTTTGAAAGTGAAGCAAGTGTGTAAATCCTTCTCTTCCAGACTGTGTCCCATGGTCAGAGAGGGAGGAAAAGCCACTATAACCTCTCAGTGTCAGAGAGACAGAAGGAGTTGGATAAAGAAAGAAGTAGAAAAGCATCCTGGAAAAGAGACAGTGAGTAGGGTGAGGAAGGGGTAGAGAATAGGAGAAAGTAGGAGCAGACACTTGGAAACAGGCAGAAGCAAGGAAAAAAAAGTAATTTGAAAAGGATTACAAATGGGAAAGAAAAGATGGCAAATGAAATACAGAGGGTTAGGAAACGAAATAACATACAGCTTTCCAGCTGGGTGATATTCTTCTGCACTCTTCCACCCTGTCCTTGGTGATCTCACCAGTTTGCTACCCACCCTTTGCTCATTTTTCCCTTTTAGTTCACAACTCCCCAGCTCGTGGCTGGAGGAGCCATCTGCTCCTGGCCTTCTGCCTTCCTTCGTGCAGTGCCCTCTGCTTGGAAGGTCTCTTCTTGATCCACGTCCCAGCGATGACATCGATGTGCCAGTCTGCTGTGGTTGCCATGGAATCGGTCCGTATTTTCCGAGTAGAAAATTGCAGTATTCGGGGACGTTGCAGAAAATTGCTAGTTACCTTACTTGGGAAAAGTGAGGAATAGTTTGTTTTCAGATTTGTCATTTGGCTGCTTCTGGAAGAAGGCAAGAAGTTCTGAATATGAGTTACCATGTGAAAATAGCATAGCATGGGGATTAAGTTTCCAGAAGCCCTCTGAATAAACCCAGGCAGCAGACTGCAGGATTTAGTAGGGTTGTAAGATTTGCAGCGTGGCACCACTTTTAGTTTGGCATTATTATTCTCCTGCTGCAAATATACTGTAGTGAAAGCAGAAAGAGTGGAACACGAAGTAGTTTGAAAGGGGCCCATTTATACCTGTCTTGTAAGCCTACAGATATATTTACTACTGATGTGCTTTCATAGACACGTTGACATGAAAATAAATAATGCAAGTTATTGGGTAGAGGCGCTTTATAGACCAGTTTTAATATTTCTTCTCCTAATGAATGACAGCATCTCTGTTCTTAGACTGCTGTTGCTGCAGAGAGACAGAGATACGATCAGAAGAGTCCTGCGCTGGTCAGTATTTCTGAACCACTTCTGGTTCAGAGCCTTTCTCCATCACAAGCACAGAGTAAAGTGATGGAGTGTAAAGTGATGCAAGTCCGGTCCCTCACTGACTCGGGACCTGATCCTGGAAGACCCTCAGATCTCTCCAATATTCTCTGCACCTTCCAGAATAAGCAAAAAAGTCCCATTTTTTGGCATCTTTCCCCTACTACTCAAATTCTCTCTCATTTTCCCCTGTTGTTGCATTTGGTTTCAATGTGATTGTGAGCTGCCCAGTGCAACTTGTGTTTTAGTCTTGGTGATGTGAAGTTACTCAACAGTTCCTCAAGGTCAGTGGGAATGAGTTACAAAGACTTTAAAATAGCCCAAGGATCTAGCTGCCTTTGAAATTCTGTCATTCTAATTTGGTTCAAACATCTCTGCCCAAACAACTTGTGATATTGGTACGCAAAGTCCAGGCTACGCTGCTGATGTGGCCGTGGCTTTGGATCATTCACTGTATGGGCATGGGCTATCTAAAGATTTGCTTGGAATTAAAAGACAATATCCCAGTGCTCTAAAAGACTAGGCACAAGGGAAACTCGACACTAGATGAGTTTGTCCCAGACTTTACAACATTGCTGTTGGAGCTCTTGGAAATCTGCTCATGTGCAGGTTCTCCAAGGCATCTAGATGTGAAAGATTCTCTTCTGGCCAGTCACTGATATCAAAGGAGTTAAAGGTTGCTGAGAAAATCTAGTACCTAGCAATGTCTTGGGACGGTGCTTTAGGAGTTGGCTGTAATGAATCCAAAAGTGCAGCAGACTTTAATGGGATCATCTTGATTTTCCCTCTTGCTGTTACAGGTCTCCAACAGGTTTTCCTCCAACAGGTCTCGAGAGGCTGTGTGCAGACTCCTCAGAGGGGCTTTGGGTTTGGGGAAGGGCAGGCAAGCTGGCAGACAGGGAGTTGGAAGACAAGCGTTATATTCCCATTCACCTCACACCCCAGGAATCTGAGAATTAATGTGTCCATTGTAGGATTGAATTTCCCTTGTGGTTAACTCTAATTTTCTGCAGCTGCACAGACATTAGTATAGTAATAATACTCGTAAGAGCAGTGATGGCTGAGACAGTCAGATAAAAAAGATCACTTGTTTTTTTTGGGGTAAAAAAAGACTCCACAGATATATCAGCCTAGATGAACCTGTTATTAAAAATTATTTTCTGAAAAAAACCCTAAATATCCTAATAATTTAGAAAAAAAAAAAAAGAGCAAGAGCTAAGGACCTAATTTCACTAGTGATGACACAAACAACACTTACTGTGAAAATAATGAACTGTAGGTAGCTCTTTTATTCAACCTTTTATGTACAGATAGCTCATTGGAATGACTGGCTGACTGAGTTTTGTACGTCAGTTGGGATACATGATTGTCCTTATAAGTCTGTCCTGGGATGAATTACTCACGTTCTTTTAGAGCGACACATGCAGTTTCTTGCAAAAGTTTGCACCATCAATATGCTTTTGCTGCTGATATACCTGTAGGAGCATTGCTTGTTGCTCTTCACAGCCCTTGCCATACTCAGCCCCAGGTGAGCTTTGGCTTTCCCAACCTCATCCCTGCACACATGGGTGATCTCTCTGTATTTCACTAAGTTCCCTGTCCCTGCTGTCACTTCTGATAGTCTTCCTTTTTCCATTTAAGTTTTGTCAGGAGCCACTTGTTCATCCATGCAGGCTTCCTGACAGTCTTGCATGGCTTCCTGCTCTCCAGGCTGGACCATTCTTGACTTCAGAGGAGTTGGTCATTGATAATCAACTAGCTATATCAAACAAATGGAAGTGTTCAAGGCCAGGCTGGATGAGGCTTTGAGAAACCTGGTCTAGTGGGAGGTGTCCCTGCCCATGGCAGGAGAGTTGGAACTTGATGGTCTTTAAGGTCCCTTCCAACCCAAACCACTCTATGATTCCACTGCGTGAGTGATTTGTATGACGGTGTATGTAGTCAACACCCCTAGTCCCTCATCACCAGTTAAAACACCCCATCAGGGTCTCTCCTCTGAAGAAATCCCCTTTAACCAGCCACTGTTTTCTTGCTGACTCTCACAGGTGGGACATGATGGTGCTACCCCTGAGAGCTGCTGGCTCCTGGAGGAGCTCACCATCGTCGTGCCCACCAAAGGCGTCATGTATAACTTTGTCTGCAAGTGCTGGCTGGCCAGAGACAAAGGTGATGGTCTCACCTCACGAATCCTCAACATCTTGGATGCAGACTGTGTTAACGTTGGCCTCAAGGTAGGCTCGAGGCTCATCCTGTATCTTTAGCTGTCGCATGGACCTGTGCTGATCTAAGTTGTGTGTCGGCAGTTCTCGTACTTTGACTTTGACATGTGGTTTAAGACTTTTATTTGCAGGTTTTCCTTGTTATTTCTTGAGCAAAATCTTTAGGAATGGTTTAGACAATGCTCAATAACATTGGCTAGATGCAACCATGGCATAGGCAGAAGGACAGAGCGGGTAGGACACAGTTCAGCAGCATGTCCTCATTCTGTCACCACACCTGGAGCACCAACCGCATCACCTGGTACCCACAGAGTGGGGCAGCTGCAAGGCAAACACCTTGGTCTAATCAAACTCTGTTGTACTGAGATACTTCTAACTCATCAAATTAGAGTAGTGTAGATATTTTAGCCTCTGCATAGTGTGGCTACACGTCAGCTTTTCTAATGTGGGATAGAGAAACTGAACTCAGTTAGAAACTAATAATAATTACAAGTTGCTGAAACATGGAGACATTTGTAAGCTTGATCTTTGAAGTGAATAATTGATTAAAGTCGAATAAGCAATGAAAAAACCCTGCATAGTCTTTTCATCCATATATATGAAATTTGAAGTAGTGTGTGCTATGCCATATTTCAGCTAAGCAGAAATTGGAAAGCTGAGCTATGCTGATTTTGGATGTAAGATTTATAACAGAAATAACAGCCTGGATGAATGGGACAATAATACTGTGTTTAGTACCTGTATGGCAATTTAAAATCTCTATAGATGTGTTTCTATTTACAAGGAGGTTACACTTTCACAGTGCATTAATTTTTCTTAATGCTGCTCTTGATTCCCGAGCTAAAGATATTCTCCTGAAATCTTTCTTGTTTCCCAGACACACAGAAGCATGATAACATTTTTAGCATCTGTGGAGGGTTCAACAAAGCAATGAAGGTTTCAGTGGCAGAATTGACCTAAGAGGGGAAAAACCTCCCTCAGACTGATTACAAAGGTTAAAACCTAATCTCTAAAACTTCCCATCAGTTGTTTGACCTTCTGGGTAAGGTTTCCAAGCTCCTATCAGTGAGCTGATGGCTCGAACGTAGATTTAAGTGGGTGTTGATGAAGACTTATGTTCAGCCTTCCTTTAAAAGCCCAGTCCTGAAAGTTTCTTTTCATAAGCATGCCAGGAATAGACACATCTAATTAACTTTTTTCTCCTATGATGTTGGGCCAGAAACTTGCTGAAAGGTTTGAAGGAAATCAGGGGAGATGTTTGAGACATGAAATCAGAAGTGTGTGTTTGACCTTCTGATCAGTCACCTAGTTGAGGGAATTTGGGACGGTTCCCTCGTAAACAGCTGTAGTTCGAAACTGAGTTTAATTTTTTTTTTTTAGACTTCAAAGAAACGAATATGATTAACATCTTTGGGAAAGTTAATTCTTTTTTTTGTTTTGTGTTTGCTTGACGCTTGCACAGCCACACATACCCGTTTCAATTTAATTTTCTTCTTGGCTTGATATTCCCTCTTTGTACTTTAAATTGAGTATTTGCTTGCCCATACATAAAGAAACTAGTTAACGTCCACCACAGATATTAAAAACCTTTAATGCATGGGCAAAAGAGTTTTCTTCTCCTACCTTGTGGCTTAACCCCTGCCACCAATAAGCATCACACAGCTGCTTGTTCACTTTCACTCCCAGCAGGACAAGTGGAAGAGAATTGGAAGAGTAAAAGTGAGAAATAACAAAAACATTGCTGTATTATCCACACTGTTTTCAGCACAAATCCAAAATATAGCCCCATGCCAGCTACTATGAAAAAAATTAACTCTATCCTAACCAAAACCAGCACATACCTATAGCAAATATGATGCTTTGTTGCCATTAAAATATGTGTGGATTAATATGTGATGGACAGGTCACTAAGGATTGAACAAACATGAAAAATAACTTTTCCATTGCATTATTCCCTCACACTGTTTATTTACGTAGTAATCACAATTCATGTCAATAGAACTTGCATTGCAGTGCACTATTTGAAATACGATTTGTTGGGACTGTTTCTTGCTGTTTTTCCACCTCTTAAATCCAGAAGTCTTGTTACCATAGGTGCAATCTTAGAATCATAGAATCATAGGATGGTTTATGTTGGAAGGGACTTTTAAAGGTCATCTAGTCCAACCCCCCTGCCATGGGCAGGGACATCTTTAACTAGAGCAGGTTGCTCAGAGCCTCATCTAACATGACCTCGAATGTTTCCAGGGACGGGGCATCCACGGCTTCTCTGGATGACCTGTTCCACTGTCTCACCACCCTCATTGTAAAAAATTTCTTCCTTGTGTCTAGTCTGAGAATCAATCTCGAAAGCATCTAAGTGGTCTAAAAGTCTTAATGCCACTGACAGCCACTGGGACTTGCATGCTTTTGAAATATTTAATTCTGAATCTTATTATTCACATGTCAAGAAGAAAGATCAAAGTGAGGATAATAAGGTGAAAATCATGCAAAACATCTTTTCACAAATTGACATACCTTTAAAGTATGAGATCTGGGAACACTCTGCATTCGATGCAGCAGTGTGTGTCCCTCTGGGAAATAGGATAGCTGCATTTGTCTGCTGCACAGAGCATTTGGCTGTGTAGACTTTGAAACTATTAGCGATGTTGGACTTAATGGTGGCCCAGATGGACACTGAACACTTGGGGAAAACATTTTGCACTCAAGGGAAAGAAAAAAATGTGACTTTGGGAGCTGTTTTTAAAAAATGGCAAAAGTTTGGTGCAGCATGAAGGTGTGGAGAGCTGGGAGGTGGCTGGGAGGAGGTGGCCCTAACAGAGGGTTGGAGACCCACATGCTGATGTGAGGGTCGTGACTCCCGTAGAGAAGGTGTTTGCTAGGTCTTCATCGCTCCCCAAGCAAGTGGTTGTCAAAATAAATGTGTCAGTCTCTGGGTATATTCAGAGTGGGAAAATCTGTAGAAAAAGTCATAGATGATGCAAAGAGGAAGGTTATGTAGCAAGTTACAATCTCTAACTTTGCCTCTGAGAACCACGGTGGGGAGAGAAGCCAAGAAACTGTGTTGTAACCATTTCTGGCAAAGAAGTAGATCTACTGCAGAGCCTGTCTAGCCTTTTGCCCAGACTTTTGCTTGGGTTGAGGACAGCTGTTCGAATGAGACCTTCTGATTGTTTCAAATCTTCACCAGATCCTCTACGAAGTCACAGTTGTGACTGGAGACATCGAAGGCGGCGGTACCGACACCGGTATTTTCATGACTGTCTTTGGATCCAATGGGAACACCGAGGAGATGCAGCTGGAAAAAAATGGAGACAGGTACAGTAACTTTGTCATTTTTTTTGGTTAGAAGTGGAGTGATAACAGATTCTGGGGTCAAGTCAAGAAGCACTTGGGACTTTGATCATGCTTCCACTGAAACACAAAGATAAACTCCTGTTGACTTTATAGATTTAGAACTGGGCCCCTTGTAAATGTTATTATAATGTAATTAGCAGAGCAGAGGAAAGAAGAGCACAAAGGAATCATCCTTTATCATTTGCAGAAATTTCGTTTGACCTATTCCTCACGGCTTTAGAGATAAGCATCATGAACAAAAATATGAATTGTGAAGTCCTGCATTGGCTCCAAGGGAAGATATGGACATTGCATGAAATCACAAGTGCAATTTCTGAAAAACACATCTTTTGTGGAAAAAATAAGTAATTTAATTTAAACATTCTTTAATGGGAATGCATGAGTAACTGTGTAATGAAAGAAAGACAAACCAGCATGCACATACCTATCTTGGCAAGTGTCTGTGATGGGAAGGTGGTGACTGCTCTGTCGGTTCCTCTCGTTTGCTGAGCGGTCCATATGTGAGCCAGCTTGGTCCAGAAGCTGTGTGAGGGATGCCAGGGCCAGAGCTGGTAAACTGAGGCCCCTGTTGGGAAATTGCTTTCTTAGCTTGGGCTCTGTGCCACACTAACGTAACCACATGGGTTTGGATCTGGAGCTGGTTTGCCTGCAGCTGGCACAAAGGGGACACGCAATGACATCTGTCTGCCCAGATGTGCCCTGAGGGTGCAGAGAGATGGAAACGGTCCATGAGCCGTGCAATGTGCTGCAGTGCCTGCTCTGATTTTAGTAAAATGTGAAATCTCATGTTTTCTTCAACAGAGACAGCTAACAAACGCCATAATCCCAGTCTGACACCAGCCCTTCTGTATGGCAAAAAACCCCACATGCCACTGATCCATTTCCTCAAGCTTTGTCATTCCTTTCTAGCACCTCCCTCTGCACGGAAAGCTTTGGGAAGGGTGAACATGGCACTAACCAGCTTTCAGAGATGGGCTTCATCAGCCTTAAATTCAATTAATTGACTACCTCTTGATCCTGTTCAGCAAAGCATCTACAGAGCATCAGGAGGGCTGCAGGGGATGTTTTACTTGCAGCTGTCACAGCAAAGTGGGTGTCTGGGCAAGGGTGCTGAGCTAAGGTTGAAACCTTCATGTGTTTAGTTAGTAACAAGCATGAACCTTGTTTGCTCTGAAAAAAAAATGCAGCAGAGGTGCTGCTGGCTAAACTCTGCGTGAGAAGCACTACTGAGTCACGTAGAAAGACGTAGCTCTTGCCTCTGCTCCTCATCACAGAGAGACATCCAACATGTGGGGCAATGCACCTGGGTTACCACCCCATCTGGCTATTGGTGGCATCCTCCTTCCAAGACCCCAGGCAATCCCAAACGGATCTGTCTTCCACTATTTTAAGCCAAATATTCAGTTGTGGTAGGTGAGAAAACGGACCATGACTGTTTGTATTTAAAAGTAAAGCAGAATTCACGTTGTCCTGGTTCCAGCTGGGACAGAGTTAAGTTTCTTCCCAGCAGCTGGTGTGAGGCTGTGTTTGGGTTTGTGCTGAGGAGAAGCTGATCACACACTGATGGGCAGAGCTGCTGCCAGGACACTCAAGGACTTTCCAGCTTCTCTGCTGGGCCCGTGTCTGCAGGGGCAGGAGAAGCTGGGAGACTCTTTTCCTTTCACCCCCTCTCACCCATCCCTGGGAGGGGGGAGAGTGAGTGAGCGGCTGTGTGGTGTTTGGCTGCCACCCAGGATCAAAACTGCAACAACATAAGGTATGTCAACCAAAAAACTCTAAAAGAGATCAAGACAGCTCCAATCTCTCAAGACAGGAATTGCAGTTTTGCTCCAGCTGGCCAGGCAAGTGATATCCCTAAACTATGTGGCCTATAAAAAGCCCATCACTTTTGTCTGTGTGGATGGGATGGATAAACTCTGCTATAAGGATATGAATATGGAATAAAGGAGGGCCACACTGCTCATAGGTTATTAGTTGCTTGGGTTGTCTTCTGCCAGTAGAAGATCTGCAAGACGTTTTAAACTCATGGGGGCTGTATAAAGATGAAGGACAAGTAAACCCCAGCTATTAACATGCTAATATCCCCAGGATACTGTGCTATTCTTTGGTGATGTGCTCTGTATCACCCCTCCAACTGCACAGAGCTCTCATCATCCTATTAACACCCTCTGCAGAGGACATGCATGTCCCCAAATACAAATACTGCCCGTTTCCAGACCACCGCCCCAGCCTTCCCCTAGCTGTTAGCTTCCATGGGTCTCGTTTTGTGTGGAAATCTCGCGAGCTTTTGTGGCCAGAAGCAAGGGATGGGTGAGAGCCACTGGAACCAAATGGTAAAAGGCACTTCATCTTTACTGGGGCCATGCAGTGCCAATTCACTCACAGCAGCTTAGTGCATTACAAAGAACCATCTGTCTAACCTGCTGCAGATTTAAGGCAATTTTAGCTACATTACTGTTATTGCCAAGACCTCTGGGCAATAGAAATATTTTTAAGTGCAGGCATGGGTAGGAAAGCTTAATGAAATCCCTTAGATAACTGCTTCAGTGTCCTGGAAAAGGAATAGCAGCAGTCAGCTTGTCTGGGTGCTTCTTCCCTTCTCAATTTTTTTCAGGCTTTTCACATTCGTATAAATTAGGGATAGAAAAGAGCGCTTGGGTCACCCAGTTTCCCACTTTAGCAATCGCTTCCCTTTAGTACAACGACTTCTTGGAAGTAGCAGGTGAGTATCAGCCTTACAAACTGTAAACAGAGCGTTTTCTGAAGATAAATAATGTTTTATTTTGCTGGCTGGCAGTTTAGCTTAGACCTGCTCAGGCTGGAAAGAAGCAGAGTGAGAGGCTTCTATGAAGCTTTGTAAGTAATGGTGACTGTAATGAAAACTGATCGTAGGATCACAGGATAATTCAAGCTGGAAGGGTCACACCTTTTTCTTGAATAGATCTGGAAATCAATCCAGCCCAGGCACAAAAGCACATTCTCTTTCTCACAGTGACACAGGCTGCCTTGGTATCTATTACCGCAGAAAGACAAATAACAAGAGAGGGGAGTTTTTCAAAGAGCAAACATAACCCTTAATAACTAGAAATGGACAGGGACCAAAACGCCCTATCCAAATGCCTCTGGGAGCGCAGGGAAAGCAATGCCTGGATGAAAACGCAGAGTCTCGAGCCAATCCCTATTGCTAACATCTGCAGCTATGCAGGCTCAGATAATGGTGTGAGGATAATCACATTGATGCTGCAGGGTATAATCTGAGCAGAGGTTGGTAAAGAAATATTTGGGTTTTGGGTTTAATTTTTTTTCCTCCATATCCCGGTATTGCACAGCTGTTGGAGGCTAAGAACATTGCCAGGAATGAGATAACATCGTTATGGATTGTTTAGGGTACTGTCCACAGTTTGCAGAGCTCCCTCCAAACTTCTCAGCAGACTTGGGTAACTCACAAGGAGAAGTTTGCATGAAGGAGGAACCTCAACAGTAGAGTGGTCATGGTGGTGATAGGTAGACCCCTTGGATTTTGATGCCCTTCGACTTGGCAAGGGTTCGATTTCCATCTCCAAGCCCACAGCAGGCCTGCCAGAGTATTTTGGGGGCAAACCTAGAAGATACACTTGCTCTGACGGAGTGATATTGAGTCTGAGTCTACACATCCAGCTCTGGGGTCCTCAGCACAGGAAGGACATGGACCTGTTGGAGCAGGTCCAGAGGAGCCCAAGGAGATGATCAGAGGGATAGAACACCTCCCTTACAAGGACAGGCTGAGAGAGTTGGGGGATGTTCAGCCTGGAGAAGAGAAGGCTCCAGGGAGACCTTCCAGCACCTTCTAGTGCTGAAAGGGGGCTACAGGAGACATGGGGGGACTCTGGATCAGGGGGTGGAGGGACAGGGTGAGGAGGAATGGTTTTAAGTGGAAAGAGGGGAGATTTAGATTGGATATTGGGAAGAAATGTTTCAGTGTGTGGGTGGTGAGGCAGTGGCCCAGGTTGCCCGGAGAAGCTGTGGATGCCCCATCCCTGGAGGTGTTCAAGGCCAGGCTGGATGAGGCTTTGAGCAACCTGGGCTGGTGGGAGGTGTCCCTGCCCATGGCAGGGGGGTTGGAACTCAATGACCTTTAAGGCCCCTTCCAAGCCATTCTATGATTCTTCCTAGCACCATTGATGCTAAGAGGGAGGTAAGGTAGCTGCAGTTCTAGCCAGTATAATATCTTCTTCAAGAAGCATATGTTAGTTTT